CCCAACAGATCCACAGATGACGCAATGTCTATTGCACTCCATATTGCCCTCTACCACCTGGACAACAGGAACACCTATGTGAGAATGATGTTCATTGACTACAGCTCAGTGTTCAACACCATAGTGCCCCCCAAGCCCTGGGACTGAACACCTCTAACTGCAACTGGTTCCTGGACTTGCTGATGGGCCACCCGCAGGTGTTGAGGATAGGCAACAACACACCCACCACGCTGACCTTCAACACGGGGGCCCCTCAGGGATGCATGCTTAGTCCCCTCCTGTACTCCCTGTTCACCCACGAGTGCATGGCCACGCACGACTCCAACACCATCATAAAGTTTGCTGACGACACGACGGTGGTAGGCCTGATCACCGACGACGATGAGCCTATAGGGAGGAGGTCAGAGACCTGGCAGTGTGGTGTCAAGACAACAACCTCTCCCTCAACGTCAGCTAGACAAAGGAGCTGATTGTGGACTACAGGAAACAGAGGGCCGAGCACGCCACCATTCACATCGACGGGCTGTAGTGGAGTGGGTCGAGAGCTTCAAGTTCCTTGGTGTCCACATCACTAAGGATCTATCATGGTCCAAACACGACAACGCCACTTCCCCCTCGGGAGGCTGAAAATATTTGGCATGGGCCCTCAGATCCTCAAAAAGTGATATAGCTGCACCATTGAGAGCATCTTGACTGGCTGCACCACCGCTTGGTATGGCAATTGCTTGGCCTCTGACCGCAAGGCGCTACAGAGGGTAGTGCGTACGGCCCAGTACATCACTGGGGCCGAGCTCCCTGCCATCCAGGACCTCTATATCAGTCGGTGTCAGAGGAAGGCCCTAAAAATTGTCAAAGACTCCAGCCACCCAAGTCATAGACTGTTCTCTCTGCTACTGCACGGCGGTACTGATGCACCAAGTCTGGAACCAACAGGACCCTGAACAGCTTCTACCACCAAGCCATAAGACTGCTAAATATTTTGTTAAATAGTTAACCAAATAAATCACATCAAATCAAATCACATTTTATTTGTCACATACACGTGTTTAGCAGATGTTATTGCGTGTAGCAAAATGCTTGTGCTTCTAGCTCCGACAGTGCAGTAATATCTAACAAGTAATATCTAACAATTTCACAACATATACCCAATACACACAAATCTAAGTAAGGAATGGAATTAAGAATATATACATATGTGGACGAGCAACGACAGAGCGGCATGGACTAAGATACAGTAGAATATTATAGAATACAGTATATACATATGAGATGAGTAATGCAAGATATGTAAACATTATTGAAGTGACTAGTATTGTGATGAGTGTGATGGAAGGAGTCAGGCGCAGGAGGGTAATCACAGAATACAGAGTTTATTCTGGCTTTACACACAAATGCGCTCAAATAGCGATAAACGAAACAGGCACAGGGGAAACTCTCATCCCTGGCAATACACTGTAACGGTAGAATCCAACAATACATAGGCACATTCCCTCCCCTACTCCCGCGACCGGGAGACCCATGGGGTGGCGCACAATTGGCCCAGCGTCGTCCAGGGTAGGGGAGGGAATGGCCGGCAGGGATGTAGCTCAGTTGGTAGAGCATGGCGTTTGCAACGCCAGGGTTGTGGGTTTGATTCCCACGGGGGGCCAGTATGAATAAAAAATAAAAAATACAAAAAAGAATGTATGCACTCACTAACTGTAAGTCGCTCTGGATAAGAGCGTCTGCTAAATGACTAAAATGGAAATGTAATGGAAATGGAAAATCTACACTGGCAACAAAATGTTACGAGTAGCTCCACCGAGCTACACTACTCTCACAATAAACAATCACCCACAAGTACAAGGGGGCAGAGGGAACACTTATACATGGACTAATGAGGGGATAAGAACCAGGTGTGTGTGATTGACAAGACAAGACAAATGGAATGATGATAATTGGGGCGGCAGTGGCTAGTAAGCCGGTGACGACGAACGTCGAAGCCTGCCCGAACAAGGAGGGGAGGCAGCCTCGGCGGAAGTCGTGACAAGTATTCAATTTCTTAAAGTGGCCAGTGATTTATATTGGCAGTAGCAGCCTCTAATGTGCTAGTGACGGCTATTTAACAGTCTGATGGCCTTGAGATAGAAGCTGTTTTTCAGTCTCTCGGTCCCAGCTTTGATGCACCTGTACTGACATTGCCTTCTGGATGATAGCGGGGTGAACAGGCAATGGCTCGGGTGGTTGATGTCCTTGATGATCTTTTAGGCCTTCCTGTGACATCAGGTGCTGTAGGTGTCCTGGAGGGCAGGTAGTTTGCCCCCGGTAATGCGTTCGGCAGACCGCACCACCCTCTGGAGAGCCCTGCGGTTGCGGGCGGTGCAGTTGCCGTACCAGTCGGTGATACAGCCTGACAGGATGCTCTCAATTGTGCATCTGTAAAAGTTTGTGAGGGTTTTAGGTGACAAGCCTAATTTCTTCAGCCTCCTAATTTGGTATGAAATCTGTTTACAATCCCCCTCTCTCCACTTACCAACTGCTACTCAATGATGAACCTTATTCCCTTCTCCTCTCCTCTCCTCTCCTCTCCTCTCCTCTCCTCTCCTCTCCTCTCCTCTCCTCTCCTCTCCTCTCCTCTCCTCTCCTCTCCTCTCCTCTCCTCTCCTCTCCTCTCCTCTCCTCTCCTCTCCCTCCTCCCTTAATCCCTCTCTCCTGTCCTCACCTTCCACACACACACACACACACACACACACACACACACACACACACACACACACACACACACACACACACACACACACACACACACACACACACACACACACACACACACACACACACACACACACTCACACACAGTGGGGTAAGAGAAGAAGTAAAAAGAGTGGAGGTGAGGAGAGATGGAGGTGAGGAGAGATGGGGGGATGAGAGATGGAGGGAGGATAGATGTGTGTGTGTGTGTCAAATGAAATCAAATCACAATTTATTTGTCACATGCTTCATAAACAACAGGTGTAGACTAACAGTAAAATGCTTAAGTAATAACACATAATAATAAAAGTAATAATAAATACACAATGAGTAATGATACCTTGGCTAAATACACGGGGTATCAGTACTGAGTCGATGTGCAGGGGTATGAATTAATTGAGGTAGACATGTACAAGTATTTGATACACTGCCGATTTTGCAGGTTTTCCTACTTACAAAGCATGTAGAGGTCTGTAATTTTTTATCATAGGTACACTTCAACTGTGAGAGACGGAATCTAAAACAAAAATCCAGAAAATCACATTGTATGATTTTTAAGTAATTAATTTGCATTTTATTGCATGACATAAGTATTTGATACATCAGAAAAGCAGAACTTAATATTTGGTACAGAAACCTTTGTTTGCAATTACAGAGATCATACGTTTCCTGTAGGTCTTGACCAGGTTTGCACACACTGCAGCAGGGATTTTGGCCCACTCCTCCATACAGACCTTCTCCAGATTCTTCAGGTTTCGGGGCTGTCGCTGGGCAATACAGACTTTCAGCTCCCTCCAAAGATTTTCTATTGGGTTCAGGTCTGGAGACTGGCTAGGCCACTCCAGGACCTTGAGATGCTTCTTACGGAGCCACTCCTTAGTTGCCCTGGCTGTGTGTTTCGGGTCGTTGTCATGCTGGAAGACCCAGCCACGACCCATCTTCAATGCTCTTACTGAGGGAAGGAGGTTGTTGGCCAAGATCTCGCGATACATGGCCCCATCCATCCTCCCCTCAATACGGTGCAGTCGTCCTGTCCCCTTTGCAGAAAAGCATCCCCAAAGAATGATGTTTCCACCTCCATGCTTCACGGTTGGGATGGTGTTCTTGGGGTTGTACTCATCCTTCTTCTTCCTCCAAACACGGCGAGTGGAGTTTAGACCAAAAAGCTATATTTTTGTCTCATCAGACCACATGACCTTCTCCCATTCCTCCTCTGGATCATCCAGATGGTCATTGGCAAACTTCAGATGGGCCTGGACATGCGCTGGCTTGAGAAGGGGGACCTTGCGTGCGCTGCAGGATTTTAATCCATGACGGCGTAGTGTGTTACTAATGGTTTTCTTTGAGACTGTGGTCCCAGCTCTCTTCAGGTCATTGTCCAGGTCCTGCCGTGTAGTTCTGGGCTGATCCCTCACCTTCCTCATGATCATTGATGCCCCACGAGGTGAAGAGGAGAGGAGAGGAGAGGAGAGGAGAGGAGAGGAGAGGAGAGGAGAGGAGGAGGAGAGGAGAGGAGAGGAGAGGAGAGGAGAGGAGAGGAGAGGAGAGGAGAGGAGAAGGGAATAAGGTTCATCATTGAGTAGCAGTTGGTAAGTGGAGAGTGGGGGATTGTAAACAGATTTCATACCAAATTAATTTGAAAATAATTGTTATAATTATTATTAGTTACTTAATACTTCATGTAGGGATATGTTTTTTTTCTTCTCAGAAAGAGAGGGATATGAAGAAAGAGAGAGCGAGAGAGTGAGGCAGAGAGACAGGATGTTTTTTCTGATCTCCCACACACACACACAGCTCTTCTCTGCAGGTACCCGCTGTCACACACAGAATTGACTCTTTCGGCAGGGCTGACCTCTCTCTCTCTGTGTCTCTTTCTCTCTCTCTCTCTCTCTCTCTCTCTCTCTCTCTCTCTCTCTCTCTCTCTCTCTCTCTCTCAACATGGATACTAGGCTACTGTATCATACTAAAATATTGCCCTGACCACAAGAGGGAGGCAGAGGATCGCCGTGTGTGCGTGCGTGTGTGTGTGCATGTGTGTGTGTTGGTATTTCTGGCAGGTCATTTGGGGGGTATGACTTTGTCACCAGCCAGAGTCACACGCAGTCAGAGATAAATATAGGAGTGCAAATCACACAAGCACACACATGCTCAGACACACAAGGACCAGATAGATTTGTATCACTCACTCTTCTACTCATTCTCCACTCCGTCTCTTCAGCGATTCCCTGCAGTCTCGGAGGTCACGAATCAGAGAGGTCACCATGGTAACAATGAGCTGGATGCTGCTGTTGTGTGTGCTGGCAGGGGGGCATGGGTCAGAGGTCGGAGTTCAGGAGGGGTGCAGCCGTTGGATGGGAGGTGTTCCTGGGACTCCTGGTCTGGACGGGCAGGATGGGAGAGATGGGAGAGAGGGGCGCCAGGGAGAGACAGGAGACACTGGACTTCCAGGTAGCACACACATCAGGGAATCAACATATAGATTCTCAAACTTTCTCTCACTCACTCTCTTTCCTTCCCTCTCTCTTTCTCCTGTCCTCCCTAGGTGTGCGAGGTGAGAGGGGAGAGTTGGGGGAAGTTGGGGAGGACGGAGTCCAGGGACAACGGGGTTTCCCGGGGGCCCCAGGGCTACAGGGGCAGAGGGGCGAGAGTTCCTTCCTGTATCGCTCTGCCTTCAGCGTGGGACTAACTACACCCACTACCACGACAGACACACCCCTTCACTTCGCCAAGATCTTCTACAACGAACAGGTACTGTGTGTGTGTGTGTGTGTGTGTGTGTGTGTGTGTGTGTGTGTGTGTGTGTGTGTGTGTGTGTGTGTGTGTGTGTGTGTGTGTGGTGGGAAGGTGAGGACAGGAGAGAGAAATTAAGGGAGGAGGGAGAGGAGAGGAGAGGAGAGGAGAGGAGAGGAGAGGAGAGGAGAGGAGAGGAGAGGAGAGGAGAGGGGATGTCAGAGAAAATATTAAATATATATTCTTCTTTCCAGCTTCACTATAACCCGTTTTTCTGTTGTCTGTCTGTCCAGCATCACTATGATGACATCTCAGGAAAGTTCCGCTGTTTTATCCCCGGAGTGTACTACTTCACCTTCCACCTCACTGTACAGGTAACACACACACAAACAAATCCTGTAACGGTAAGATACTGTAAAAAAAAAAGGTACAGTATGTTACCGTAAGTTCCAAAGGAACTTTGGTTTAAACAGTACATTACTGTAAACTTTGATTAGGGTCAGGGGTGTAAGGTGGGGCTGTACCGTAGCGGTGTGTGTGTTGTTTAGGGTCAGGGGTGTAAGGTGGGGCTGTACCGTAACGGTGTGTGTGTTGTTTAGGGTCAGGGGTGTAAGGTGGGGCTGTACCGTAACGGCCGAGTCATTTTGCTGACGCTGGACCAATTCCTGACCTCTGACCTGGACCAGTCCTCTGGAGGGGCGGTCCTAAATCTCTCATCTGGAGACCAAGTATGGCTGCAGGTGAGTCATATGCTGCAGATTCAAAGAAACAACGGAGAGGTCTTTTTTCCTTTAGTTCCTTTCATTCCTTATTATTTAGAGTTCTAAAGTTTGGTTGAAAAAGTCAATATGGCTGAACCAGGCTAGTAAACAGAACTATTTTACCAAACTGGTGAATTTCCTATGGCTGCTATTAGATGTTGTTTGTTTGCGTTAGAATTGGACCTTTTACTCCTCTGACAAAGTCACCACAAGTCACGTCACTAACTTATTACTTCATTGATGGCTAATATAATATCCCTCTGTCTACAGGTGTATGGTGCGGAACAGGAAGAAGTTGGAATTTACGCTGACATCAACAACGACTCCACCTTTACTGGCTTCCTGATTCAGGCCCGCCTACCTAGCAGCCTTGGAAAACCCCGACCTGATTCCTCAGCTTTGTTGTCTCCTGGAGCCGATTGGACAACCTGCTACTGCCACACCTACTTAGCAGCTGCTTATTTTCCATCACATCCCTTTTTCCCCTTCTTCCCTTATCCCTCTCTCTCCCCCATTCACCTCAATATCTCCCTAACCTCCAACTCTCACCACTTTTTGTTCTCCGAGATAAGCTATATTAAATACTAAAAGGAAATAGAACTGCTCCCTCTTTCTCTATTATTTCGCCCTTTTCTCTTTTAGTCATAGTCCCCCCCTCTTTTTCAGACTCTTCGTTCATTCCTTTCCCACCCTCCTCGCTATGCACCCTTCCCTCCTATCGAAAACTCCCACACCTCCTCGCATCGTCCCTCCCACCTGACATCCGTCCTCCCTCCGTCAGCTCTCCATCACTCCCACGAGCCCTCGTTACCCTCTACCGTTGCTCTCTCTCCTCTCCCTCCTCTCTCTCCTCTCTCTCCTCTCTCTCCTCTCTCCTCTCTCTCCTCTCTCTCCTCTCCCTCCTCTCTCTCCTCTCCCTCCTCTCCTTCCTCTCTCTCCTCACTCTCCTCTCCCTCCTCTCTCTCCCCTCTCTCCTCTTTCTCCTCTCCTCTCCCTCCTCTTTCTCCTCTCCTTCCTCTCTCTCTCTCCTCTCCCTCCTCTTTCTCCTCTCCTTCCTCTCTCGTCCTCTCCCTCCTCTCCTCCTCTCCTCCTCACTCTCCTCCCTCTCCTCTCCTTCCCTCCCTCTCCTCACTCTCCTCACTCCTCCTCTTTCTCCTCTCTTTCCTCTCTCTCCTCTCCCTCCTCTCTCTCCTCTCTCTCCTCTTTCTCCTCTCCTTCCTCTCTCTCCTCTCCCTCCTCTTTCTCCTCTCCTTCCTCTCTCTCCTCTCCCTCCTCTCTCTCCTCTTTCTCCTCTCCTTCCTCTCTCTCCTCTCCCTCCTCTCTCTCCTCTCCCTCCTCTCCCTCCTGTCCCTCAGTGTGTCCAGTTGGCCTCCAGCCCAGAGGGCCTGTGTGTGTGTATGTGTGTGGCTGTAATCTATATTTATAATCATCTCAGTTCTGTAATGATAAAGGTCATCTGCCAAAGGCTGTCACACACACGAACATGCACACGCACACACACACAAAGAGAAGACGTGTGAGTGGGTTCCCTATGGGCTCACAGCTGTTGTTACTGAGTCAGAGTGCTCTTGGATCAATAAAGTTGCATTGATGTTTCAAATTGGGTTGTTCTTGTCTTTCTGTGAGTTGGGAGCGAGGTGGGTGAGTTGGGGGAGGGGTCAGGTGCATGGTGGGAAAGGGGAGAGGGCTAACTTCTTCCCCTTTTCTCCTTCTCTCCGTGTTCATTCGCTCTGCACCCTTCTCCCCAAAGTGTGCACTCGTTCACTCCTGGTGTATTTAAAAGGAGTCAACATTAATATGTTTAAAGTACTGTAATGGTTTATATGTGTATATGGGGACCCCCTATAGCCTATAGGGGTCAGTAGATAATATAACCACAGTTTGCCTATAGGGGTCAGTAGATAATATTACCACAGTTAGCCTATAGGGGTCAGTAGATAATATTACCACTGTTAGCCTATAGGGGTCAGAAGATAATATTACCACTGTTAGCCTATAGGGCTCAGTAGATAATATTACCACAGTTAGCCTATAAGGGTCAGAAGATAATATTACCACTGTTAGCCTAGAGGGGTCAGCAGATAATATTACCACTGTTAGCCTATAGGGGTCAGTAGATAATATTACCAGTTAGCCTATAGGGGTCAGTAGATAATATTACCACTGTTAGCCTATAGGGGTCAGCAGATAATATTACCACTGTTAGCCTATAGGGGTCAGCAGATAATATTACCACAGTTAGCCTATAGGGGTCAGTAGATAATATTACTACTGTTAGCCTATAGGGGTCAGCAGATAATATTACCACAGTTAGCCTATAGGGGTCAGTAGATAATATTACCACTGTTAGCCTATAGGGGTCAGTAGATAATATTACCAGTTATCCTATAGGGGTCAGCAGATAATATTACCACTGTTAGCCTATAGGGGTCAGCAGATAATATTACCACTGTTAGCCTATAGGGGTCAGCAGATAATATTACCACTGTTAGCCTATAGGGGTCAGCAGATAATATTACCACTGTTAGCCTATAGGGGTCAGCAGATAATATTACCACTGTTAGCCTATAGGGGTCAGTAGATAATATTACCACTGTTAGCCTATAAGGGTCAGCAGATAATATTACCATTGTTAGCCTATAGGGGTCAGCAGATAATATTACCACTGTTAGCCTATAGGGGTCAGCAGATAATATTACCACTGTTAGCCTATAGGAGTCAGTAGATAATATTACCACTGTTAGCATATAGGGGTCAGCAGATAATATTACCACTGTTAGCCTATAGGGGTCAGCAGATAATATTTCCACTGTTAGCCTAAGGGGTCAGTAGATAATATAACCAGTTAGCCTATTGGGGTCAGTAGATAATATTACCACTGTTAGCCTATATGCAACATGTCACAATACAGAGCCATAAATAAAGAGACAAAAAGGCTGGAGTTGGTAGAATTCATAAATGTTGAATAATGAAATTACATACGTACCCTATCTACAGGTGGATCTACCTTTATTTCTCCATCCTGGATTTTATTAAAACTCCAGAGATCATTCGAGGTACAATATGGTCCAACTGCAGACCGCAAACTCTGCAAAATCTTTAGTAAAATCATTGGAGACTGATTAACTTGGTGGTTGGCAAATGTAGCTACAGTGCCTTCAGAAAGTATTCACACCCCTTGGCTTTTTCCACATTATGTTATGTTACAGCCTACATTTAAAATAGATTCAATTGAGATGTTTTGTCACTGGCCTACACACAATACCCCATAATGTCAAAGTGGAATTATGCTTTTCAACATTTTTACAAATTAATTCAAAATGAAAAGCTGAAATGTCTTGTGTCAATAAGTATTCAACCCCTTTGTTATGGCAAGCCTAAATAAGTTCAGGAGTAAAATGTTGCTTAACAAGTCACATAAGTTGCATGGACTTTAAGGTCCCTCAGTCGAGCAGTGAATTTCAAACAGAGATTCAACCACAAAAACCACAAAGAAGGTTTTCCGATGCCTCGCAAAGAAGGGCACCTATTAGTGGATGGGTCAAAATAGAAAACAACAGACATTGAATATCCCTTTGAGCATGGTGAAGTTATGAATTGCAGTTTGGATGGTGTATCAATACACACATTCACTACAAAGATACAGGCATCCTTCCAAACTCAGTTGCCGGAGAGGAAGGAAACCGCTCAAGGATTTCACCATGAGGCCAATGGTGACTTTAAAACAGTTACATAGTTGAATGGCTATGATAGAATAAAACTGAGGAAGGATCAATAACATTGTAGTTACTACACAATACTAATCTAAATGACAGAGTGAAAAGAAGGAAGCCTGTACCAAATACAAATATTCCTAAACATGCATCCTGTTTGCAACAAGGCACTAAAGTAATCCTGCAAAAAATGTGGCAAAGCAATTAACTTTTTGTCCTGAATACAAAGTGTTATGATTGGGGCAAATCCAATACAACACATTACTGAGTACCACTCTCCATATTTTCAAGCATGGTGGTGGTTGCATCACGTTAGGGGTATGCTTGTAATCGTTAAGGACAGGGGAGTTTTTCAGGATAAAAAAAGAAATGGAATGGAGCTAAGCACATGGAAAATCTTAGAGGAAAAACTGGTTCAGTCTGCTTTCCACCAGACACTGGGAGATGAATTAACCTTTTAGCAGGATAATAACCTAAAACACAAGGCCAAATCTACACTGGAGTTGCTTACCAAGAAGACAGTGAATGTTCCTGAGTGGCCAAGTTACAGTTTTGACTTAAATGTTGTTGAAAATCTTTGGTAAGACTTGAAATGGTTGTCTAGCAATGATCAACAACCAATTTGACAGAGCTTGAAGAATTTTGAAAATAATAATGGGCAAATATTGTACAATCCAGGTGTGCAAAGCTCTGAAGAGACTAACCCAGAAAGACTGACAGCTGTAATCGCTGCCAAAGTTGATTCTAACACTCAAGGGTGTGAATACTTATGTAAATGAGATAATTCGGTATTTCATTTTCAATGAATTAGCAAAAATTCCTAAAAACATGTTTTCACTTTGTCATTATGGGGTATTGTGTGTAGATGGGTAATTATTATATTTTTTATCCATTTTTAATTCAGGCTGTAACAACCAAATGTGGAATGAGTCTAGAGGTATGGAAACTTTCTGAAGGCACTGTAGCTAGCTAGCTAGCCAGTCCCTATTGAGATTTAATAGGCTTTCAACTTAGGCTACTAAACCAGAGTTTTTAAACTCTCGCTAGAGTAGCAAAAGAGCTAGCTGCTAGCTAGCCAATGACAACGAGAGCTAGCCAATGACAACGAGAGCTTGCTTGTCTTGGGGAGTGCAAAACCTAAAAAACATGTATTTTTTATTTTTTTGCAATATAAATTTTTTTTGACTATGCGGCTAATCAGTTTTTTTTTGCGTGAGAAAAATGAAATCAATGTTCCCACGAGATACCGCTAATGAAGTATGACCAATGTACGCCCAAAGGGAATGTTCCTTGCCAACGGACATCTAATCAGAGATGGAATACACTTAATGATGTATGGCAAGAAATGCCCATTGCAAGAATTGCCTAAGACGCAGTCTGCAGTCGGACCCTTCTCCCTATAGGGGTTAGCAGAGAACATTACCACTGTTGGCCTATAGGGGTCAGTAGAGAATATTACCGCTGTTAGTCTATAGGGGTCAGTAGACAATATCACCACTGTTGGCCTATAGGGGTCAGTAGATAATATTACCACTGTTGGCCTATAGTGATCAGTAGAGAACATGGACACAAAGAGAAAATGTTTTTCAAAGCTTTTATTTAAAACATTCAAAGTGGAAAAAAACTTTACATATTACATCATAAACAAAACAAACACAAAAAGCATGTGAGGTTTGTAGCTACAGAAGCGAAGCAGAGCTGCGAGAATTTATTAAATATTCCAGTGATAATGAGGGGATCAATCGTCGACTACTGTCAATTAATCAATTAATAAAAGCTAATAAACTGACAGATAAAACATCTAGTGGAGAGAAACTCCTACTGCTAACAGCACATTACTATGTGTGTGTGTGTGTGTGTGTGTGTGTGTGTGCCTGTTCGTACGTACGTGACGTGTGTGTGTCAGACTTCAAGCAGCCTTTTATTATTTTGTATTAAATATCTGTATTAAAAATCTGCTCCTGTTTTTGGCTGGTGTGTTAGTTTTGTTGTTGTAGTCTTTATGGCATATGCAGTGTGTGTCTGTGTATGCAGTGTGTATATATGTGTATATGTATTTATTTTTGGCGGTAGTCAGCAGCGTATGCTCTGTGGTCGTCCTGTTCAGGGTACTGGTCTCGGTATCCTCTCAGCATGTCCTGGAAGCTGGGCATTCCCCGCTGGGGTGAGGGGTAGGACCCGTACGACAGCCCCTGCGAGGGAGGGGGGTAAGCCCCGTAGGTCTCCTCCTGGCCACTCTGGTATGGCTCTGACTCTGCCTCGCTGTCTCTCTCTGGCTCCCCCTGGCTGTGCTCTGGCTCCCCCTGGTGTACAGCTTGGGCGTTGGTGTCTGGCAGCAGATCCTCCCGGGGTTCGTAGCGACGCAGGCGACAGTTGGTGTCGTACTCTGGGTCACAGTCGGGGTCAGAAGGCTCAAGGACTCCGTTCCTTGATCCATCAGCATTGAGATGCGGCTCGTAGGGCTCGGCGGGGTAGGCGGTGTTACGGTGGGCGCCAGAACGCGGCTCTGCGCGGGCTATTGGATAGCACTCCTGGTCGTAGCCGATGAAGCATTCATAGCCCTCCTTGGTCTTTCCCCGGGGGCCAAGCGGGTGGCGATCCTCCTGGGGGGGCTCCTCATAGCGGGGAGAGGGGGCGGGGGCGTGCTGCCGTGGGGAAGGGGGGACATGTCTGTGCATGGAGGCCGCAGCTTCACGGTACATTGCGAAGGGATCGTTAGCATTAGCATTAGCCTGCCTGTACATGGTGTATGGGTCGTTAGCTTGAACGTTAGCGATAGCTTGGCGGTACATGGCGTATGGGTCACTAGCTGGAGTGCTGTGAGCACTGGCTTGGCGGTACATGGCATATGGGTCGCTAGCTTGAGTGCTGGGAGCACTGGCTTGGCGGAACATGGCATATGGGTCGCTAGCTTGAGCACTGGGAGCACTGGCTTGGCGGTACATGGCATATGGGTCACTAGCTTGAGAGCTTGGAGCACTGCCTTGGCGGTTACCATTAGCGTTAGCATAAGCATCCCTGTACATAGCGAATGGGTCGCTGCGTTGCTCGGGAGCTGGGGGTGCAGCGCGCATTGCGGCGGGTTCGTCTTTGTGTTCTTCCTTGAACTCCTCTGGTGCCGTGGCGTACTTGGTTGCGGTGAGAGGGTTACAACCGTCCTCAAACAGAGGGTTGCAGGAACCAGGATCCGCCGGGGCGGGGGTTGCAGGGGCACGGGGTGCCTGGTGACAGAAGGACAGTCATGATGATATTACAATTCCATGATAGTCGCTATAATGATGATGACAACACATACTAATCTTACCTGTAGGGATGCAGCGTAGGCACAGCGAGGGTCTCTGGGGTCACAGTTGGGGTAACGGAGGAAGAGGCCGGAGGGGGATTTTTGGACCAGCTGGGGTTTACAGGCAGGGTCTTTCGGGTCACAGCCCAGGTGGGCGTAGGAAGGCAGGGGCCCAGCGGAAGGCTTGTGACCGAAAGCAGCTCTCAGGTGGTACTGGAGACACTCCACATCCTCTGCTGAACAGATACGCAGCAGCTCTGCCTTCTGCTCCTGGATGGGAATAAAAACAATAATACTTATGTTAATGACAGATAGAGAGATAGACAATATACAGTAGTATAGTGGTACAGTAATAGCAGTAATAGTGTAGTAATACTGTACCTTGGAGAGGAAGGGCTGAACAGCGGGGGAGTAGTAGTAGTACCCAGAATGAGGGTCTTTAACGGCCACTGGGGAGCGCACATACAGGGGGGCTGGGGCCTTGACCGGGGCAGGGGCAGGTGGGGGCTGGCTCTTGGCGTGTGCCATGGCAGCATAGAGACAATATGGGTCCCTACACAGGAGATTAGATTAGATTAGATTCAATTCATGAGCATAAAATGATATAACACAGACATAAATGAACATGACTGACCTGTAGGGGTCACAGGCCTTGACAGGAGCGGGCTTGGGAGGGGCCTTGGGGGGTTCAGGTTTGGGCCGGCTAGTGGCCGAGGCCACACAGTTTGGGTCCTCTGAGTCGGCGCAGGCCTTGTAGATGTCCCCTAGGTGGCCCAGGTAGGCTTTGTAGGAGCGACGTCCCTCTGCACGGTTCTTATTCTGGAGGTAGGCCAGGTAGACCCTGTCCAGCTCCTGGACCTGGGGGGGGGGGGGGTGAGGTTAGAGGTATACAGTGAGGGAAAAAAGTATTTGATCCACTGCTAATTTTGTACGTTTGCCCACTGACAAAGAAATGATCAGTCTTTAATTTTAATGGTAGGTTTATTTGAACAGTGAGAGACAGAACAACAACAAAAAAATCCAGAAAAACACATGTCAAAAATGTTATAAATTGATTTGCCTTTTAATGAGGGAAATAAGTATTTGACCCCCTCTCAATCAGAAAGATTTCTGGCTCCCAGGTGTCTTTTATACAGGTAATGAGCTGAGATTAGGAGCACACTCTTAAAGGGAGTGCTCCTAATCTCAGTTTGTTACCTGTATAAAAGACACCTGTCCACAGAAGCAATCAATCAATCCGTTTCCAAACTCTCCACCATGTCCAAGACCAAAGAGCTCTCCAAGGATGTCAGGGACAAGATTGTAGACCTACACTGGAATGGGCTACAAGACCATCGCCAAGCAGCTTGGTGAGAAGGTGACAACAGTTGGTGCGATTATTTGCAAATGGAAGAAACACAAAAGAACTGTCAATCTCCCTCGGCCTGGGGCTCCATGCAAGATCTCACCTTGTGGAGTTGCAATGATCATGAGAACGGTGAGGAATCAGCCCAGAACTACACGGGAGGATCAATGATCTCAAGGCAATGATCTCAAGGCAGCTGGGACCATAGTCACCAAGAAAACAATTGGTAACACACTACGCCGTGAAGGACTGAAATCCTGCAGCGCCCGCAAGGTCCCCCTGCTCAAGAAAGCACATATACAGGGCCGTCTGAGGTTTGCCAATGAACATCTGAAAGATTCAGAGGAGAACTGGGTGAAAGTGTTGTGGTCAAATGAGACCAAAATCGAGCTCTTTGGTATCAACTCAACTCGCCGTGTTTGGAGGAGGAGGAATGCTGCCTATGACCCCAAGAACACCATCCCCACCGTCAAACATGGAGGTGGAAACATTATGCTTTGGGGGTGTTTTTCTGCTAAGGGGACAGGACAACTTCACCGCATCAAAGGGACGATGGACGGGGCCATGTACTGTCAAATCTGCCACCAAGTACTAAGTCATGTTTTGCAGAGGGGTCAAATACTTATTTCCCTCATTAAAATGCAAATCAATTTATAACATTTTTGACATGCGTTTTTCTGGATATTTTTGTTGTTATTCTGTCTCTCACTGTTCAAATAAACCTACCATTAAAATTATAGACTGATCATGTCTTTGTCAGTGGGCAAACGTACAAAATCAGCAAGGGATCAAATACTTTTTTCCCTCACTGTATGAGGTTCATAAAGAGCAAAGCCAAAGCTAGGGAAAACCCAATAACATGAGTAGAGATACCTGTGGAGTTCCCCAAGGTTCCCATGTCATTCTCAAACGCAATATCCATTTTAATCTCTAAGCAGGTGATACTCAACTCTGAAGGTCTGTGGTTAGTTACTGTTGGGCCCCTTGGGACCAGAAAGTTTGGGACCATTCACGGATAACCCCCCAAACTCCTCAGTGTACTCACTGCCTCCGTGTTTCCATTGTCGGTGAAGTATTTGTACCAGTTCCAGAAGTCTGAGTGTTGCTTGTACCAGCTGATGTTTCTACGGTTACGGACAAGCCTCCTTGCTGACGCCATCGCAACCACTGTCTCTTCAGTGGCATCCCCTACTGGCGAGACATCAAGCATCAAACATTGTTGTGTATGTAAAGTATGTTTGTTAGGTACAGTACCAGTCAAAAGTTTGGACACACCTACTCATTCCAGGGTTTTTCTTTATTTTTACTATTTTTTACATTGTAGAATAATAGTGAAGACATCAAAACTATGAAATAACACATATGGAATCACGTAGTAACCAAAAGAGTGTTAAACAAATCAAAATATATTTTATATTTGAGATTCTTCAAAGTAGCCACCCTTTGCCTTGATGACAGCTTTGCACACTCTTGGCATTCTCTCAACCAGCTTCATGAGGTAGTCACCTGGAATGGTCCTCTGTAGCTCAGCTGGTAGAGCACGGCGCTTGTAACGCCAAGGTAGTGGGTTCGATCCCCGGGACCACCCATTCACAAAAATGTATGCACACACGACTGTAAGTCGCTTTGGATAAAAGCGTCTGCTAAATGGCATATTATTATATTATTATTATTATTATATTATATATTATATTATTATAATGGAATTTGTGGAATTTCTTTCCTTCTTAATGCATTTGAGCCAATCACTTGTGTTGTGACATGGTAGGGGTGGTATACAGAAGATAGCCCTATTTGGTAAAAGACCAAGTCCATATTATGGCAAGAACAGCTCAAATAAGCAAAGAGAAACGACAGTCCATCATTACTTTAAGACATGAAGGTCAGTCAATCCGGAACATTTCAAGAACTTTGAAAGTTTCTTCAAGTGCTGTCGCAAAAACCATCAAGCGCTATGATGAAACTGGCTCTCATGAGGACTGCCACAGGAAAGGAAGACCCATAGTTAGCTCTGCTGCAGAGGATACATTCATTAGAGTTAACTGCACCTCAGATTGCAGCCCAATGCTTCACAGAGTTCAAGCAACAGACACATCTCAACATCAACTGTTCAAAGGAGACTGCGTGAATCAGGCCTTCATGGTTGAATTGCTGCAAAGAAACAACTACTAAAGGACACCAATAATAAGAAGAGACTTGCTTGGGCCAAGAAACACGAGCAATGGACATTAGATCGGTGGAAATCTGTCCTTTGGTCTGATGAGTCCAAATTTGAGATTTGGATGCCGGGTCTTTGAGAGACGCAGAGTAGGTGAACGGATGATCTCCGCATGTGTGGTTCCCACCGTGAAGCATGGAGGAGGAGGTGTGATGGTGCTTTGCTGGTGACACTATCTGTGATTTATTTAGAATTCAAGGCACACTTAACCAGCATGGCTACCACAGCATTCTGCAGCGATATGCCATCCCATCTGGTTTGCGCTTTCAACAGGACAATGACCCAAAACACACCTCCAGGCTGTGTAAGGGCTATTTGACCAAGAAGGAGAGAGATGGAGTGCTGCATCAGATGACCTGGCCTCCACAATCACCTGACCTCAACCCAATTGAGATGGTTTGGGATGAGTTGGACCGCAGAGTGAAGGAAAAGCAGCCAACAATTGCTCACCATATGTGGGAACTCCTTCAAGACTGTTGGAAAAGCATTCCAGGTGAAGCTGGTTGAGAGAATGCCAAGAGTGTGCAAAGCTGTCATCAAGGCAAAGGGTGGCTACTTTGAAGAATCTAAAATAAAAAATATATTTTGATTTGTTCAACACTTTTTTGGTTACTGCTTGATTCCATATGTGTTATTTCATAGTTTTGATGTCGTCACTATTATTCTAGAATGTAGAAAATAGTAAAAATAAAGTGAGTAGGTGTGTCCAAACATTTGACTGGTACTGTAGTGGTGTTTTTACCATCTCCATTGAGCTTCTGAAACACCGGCCCCGCCGACAGGAATTCTGAGAAGACAGACACACACAGTCAGAGTTAGATGTTGCCATGCGTCAGCAGCAGAGCCCAAAACATTCTTACATATACTACTAAGAACCTTTCCCCACTGCGAGTGTAATATACAGGTGTAAAGGTGTGTGATTAAACACACACAGGTTTACAGGGCAGGGGTAATTGGCGGTGCCTGGAGGTTCGGTGACTTCGGCTCTTTGTAGATTTTATAGGTGAGCCTGTAACAGTGGACCCCAACTGGGCCAGCTACCTTACAGAGCTCCCTGTGTGTGTGTGTAAGAAACAGTAGACACACCTCTGCATGCATGCTCTTTCATCTCCACAGGGAAAAGGTGCTAACAGTTTTCAGAGGGAAGGACAGAGCGGGATGGAGGTAGAGAGATAGAGAAGAGGGAAGTGAGGTAAAGAGGGAGAGAGAGGGATGGAGGAAGAGAAGGAGAGAGAGATGCATGGATGATGGATGGAGGGAGGTATGTGTGGTGTTGGGGTAAATGTTGCTGTCTCAGTGTATCCGCTGTACTATATTTAACGAGCCAGTAAAAGACTGGAACATCTGGAAACAACAGCCTTTACAGGACGGAGGGAGGAGGAGGAGGAGAGGGGGAGCAGGGGGGAGGAGAGAGCGGGACTGATGCTGACAGGTAATAATCTTTTACAAGTGTTGGAACGATGAAAGAACGCACCCGAATTCCCTCCCTCTCCTCCATCCCTCTACCCTTGTAAATACATGATGGGTTAAGGTTAGGATTATGGGTCTGTTTGAGAGACAGTTTTAGAGGAAAGAGGAGATTCAGTAGATATTCCCCTGAGGGGAACTGTCAATCATGTCAACATATAACCAGAAACAGCTGGGATGGAGGCAGTTATCCGAGCCAGTTACATATGGTGAGGTTATTACAACAGGTGATAAGAGGCAGACAGAGACTGTTCTGAGTTTTAGTTAGGGTTAAGACAATGTTTCCGAATCTGTTCCTTGGTTACCCTCAGGACTGGACATTTTCGTTCTAGCCCAGCAATAACAGACCTGATTCAACTAGTCAAGGGCTTGAGAATAGGCGAGGTGAGGAGAGGAGAGGAGGAGTAAGGTAGGAGAGGATAAAAACTCCATCCTAACATTAACCCCTATGTTTGCTTGAGCGTGCATGCAGGCATGTGACTCACCAGGCAGCAGCATGGTGACCAGCAGAGCAGCAGTGAACACACCGTAGAACAACGCTCTGCTCCCTCCAGCCATGGCTTCCTCCTCTCCTACGGACAATTTCAAGTAAATACCAGTGGAAACAGTTTGTCAAATAAAGTGCTTCCTATACTCATGCCATTCCTAATGAAGAGTAGTGAATGCTGTAGAAGAGACTGTTAGTACCCTCGTCCGGCTAAATCACCTTTAGTTGTCTTGCTTCCCACAACAAAAAATTCAAACAATGTTTCCAGTCTACATCCACCACCGGGTCTGCTTCCACCCATCTAAACTGTTGCCTCAGAGGGTCTTCTGTCTGAGTCTCATCAGGGGGTTTAGGCTGCACTGCTGGTTGATTCTCCTACACAGGCTACAGGTGTTTGAGCATTCAAACCTAACCTGACCTTAAACTGGACTTAAACCAACCTTGAACTGAACTTAATCCTGACCTAAAGTCTCTGGTCCCCACCGCTCTGCTGATCAGAACCATCTTATCACTTACCTGACAAAGACATCAGGTCAAAGTCTAGTTTTGATCAGCATGTCATATTTATGATGTCAACAAACAACCAAACCCTTGACAGCCTGTTGTTGTCTTACCTGTAGTTGTGTGTAGTGGAGTCTCTCTGTTGGATCTTGAGAGGCTGTATCAGACGAAGCCCACTGGCCAGTTCAGAGGCTGGATGTTCAAGTGTGTGTGCGTGTATGTGAGAGACTCCTGGCGCACCCTGTCCCTCTGACCCTACTGACAAGACTGTGCCCCCGAAAATGGTTTGGTCTGGTTTTAAACGGACCCCTGATCATTAACATACACTGATTATTAACACACACACAAACCTTCCCAGGGGATCGAGGGGCACTGCTACCAGAGCTGCTATTGGCTGCTGCAAGCTCAACCACCTGACCAATCAGAGACATACATAATTACAGAGAGAGAGAGAGAGAGAGAGAGAGAGAGAGAGAGAGAGAGAGAGAGAGAGAGAGAGAGAGAGAAAGAAAACAGAGAGGGAGACAAGGAAATACAGGGGAAATAATGAAGGGGGAAAGGAGAGTAAAGGTGCCACATAAGCACTTCCCAGAACCCATTTTGTAGGAGGAAGGCCCAAAAATCCTGCCTATTAGCTACTGTTAGACAGCTCTGTTGGCACACACTGACAGCTGGTCTGCCCATCAGGAATTTCAGGTGCTAGTTTCCTCATTAGTTCTACTGTTCAGACACGTCTGCCCTGTAACAGAGGGTTTCCACACACACAGGTCCTGCTTCCGTACAGTGGCTCTCCAGCATTGTCCCTGTAAGATGCAATAGCACCCAAACCTAAAAGGTGATGGTTTGGGACTCACCAAACACTCCAACTAGGTCGCAGCCACACAGAGATGGATATAATCTATGCATTTGTCACTTGTGTGTTTTGTAGCCATGCAGTCCGTCAAAAGTTAATCTAATCTCAACTTTTTATGTTGCTACGGTGTGCACTAATGAATACAACCCGGACCATTGCCAAATGTGACAACCTTTTTGACACCCTCTACATTAAAATGTTTAGTCATTTAGCAGACGCTCTTATCCAGAGCGACTTACAGTTAGTGAGTGCATACATTCTTTTTTAATGTTTCATACTGGCCCCCCATGGGAATCGAACCCACAACCCTGATGTTGCAAACGCCATGCTCTACCAACTGAGCTACATCCCTGCCTGCCATTCCCTCCTCTACCATGGACGACGCTGGGCCAATTGTGCACCGCCCCATGGATCTCCTGGTCGCGGCCGGCAATGACAGAGCCTGGATTCGAATCAGGATCTGTAGTGGCACAGAGATCACTGCGCCACTCGGGAGGTAACTACTACTACTACTAACTTCTCCTCCTCTTCCTCCTCCTCCTCATACTGGTACCAGCCGAGCAAGATGTTCCACAGACAGACCTGGTGTGGTTGAATGATTTATGAAGCTACAAAGGCCTTATAAAGCTTTTAGAGCTGCTGTCCAGTAGCCATCAACGTACTGCTCATGTTAACTGGGGATGTCGTATATAATTATTATAGGTATGAGTGTGCATGTGATGTTATGGCGTATGTAATTATTACTCCACTAACAGGTGTTTCGCAGCGGCTACAGACCTGCCTGCCGCAGCACATCGAAACACGACCACTCTAAACCCACACTGATCATTTAGCCCAGCTATGGAATGTATGGGATCCACAGACACCTGCTTTTTAAAAGATACTTTATTTTTAACAAACACAGTGGTAGTGAGGGGGATCTCCCTAAGCATTTCCACCATTGGACAATGGTTCTGGTTTCACAGTTCTTAGGATCCTTAAGTCTCACACACACACACACACAAACGGGTAATCATGGGTGTATGTAGGGCCTTCATTCACTGCAGGTCCTCATCATCAAACAGATCCTCGAAGTCTGAGAGAGAGAAACAGATAGAGAAAAACAGAGAGACAGAGCGAGAAACAGATAGACAGAGCCAGACAGACAGAGAGAGACGAAAAAGAAAAGATACGTCAGTGAGTTTCTGATTTGATTGACAGCTCCTATCTGCTGACACTTAGATGACTGACATGATAGGCATGCTGAAGTTTGAAAACATCCTAAAATAGTAGTCCAGTATGCAGTATGATTCATAACAGATCATGCAGTAGTACCATATGTTAGTATTTGGTATGTAGTATCTGGGCTCTCAGGACTTTTGGTTATAGGAGAGGTTTGATATTAACGGATGTGAGTGCTGCTTCAGGGGAGCTACAACCACTCAAAGACAAAATCACAGACACCACAGATCACAGGGGAATGTGTTTTTCTGCTGGGTGTGCGTGTGTTATGTGGTGTGTGTGCATTTGTTGCGAGTGTGGGTGTGTATGTGTGTTCAAAGCGGCAGGCTGGCTAAGTGTCCTGCTGAGTTTCAGTCTAACAGGAACCATAAAACCCTTTATCATCCCCATCTCCTCTCCTCCTTGTCCTACTCCCCCCCTCCTTGTCCTACTCTCCTCCTTGTCCTTACCTACTTAATCGTCTCTTTTCCTACTCTTCTCCCTCTCTACTCCCCCACTCCTCCCATTCCCTCTTCACCTAGTACTACCCCTTACATCTCCTTCTTTAACGTTCCTCTCCTCTTTTTAATGATCAGTTTCTAGGTCATGTGCTGCTGAGACAAACTGTTTGTCCTGTAGCTAACACTGCCAGACGGAAAACACATTAGCTACATTGTGTGGTGTGTCTGCGTTTGTGCATGCAGGCATGTGTAAATTGAGATTTACATGGAAAATGTGTGTTAGTTACTGTGAGATGTAGGGATGTAACGATTCACCAACACACATCAGTCCCCGATTCAAATGTTTAGGATGTGAGTGTATCGTGGATCCCAAACCGATCCAAATGTAGCATGCATCGGTCAGAAAACCGATTCAAACGTTACGAATCGCCGGTTCACCATCTTTTTTCTTCACATATTACATTATTTCTACCTTCCGAAAATACTTATAATATTTTGTGACAACTGATGCGTCCTCTATTTCAGTGTCGAACTGCATGTAACTGCGTTGACAGTCATTGACCTACAAGTCATTCTGCATGCGTGCCGGACAACCCCAGGCAATCTCAGTAGCCTAGTCAAACTGCCTGCGCACAGTGCCCAGTTCCGCACGCTGACAAACGTGAGATAGGCGGCATGTTCCTGATCTTGCACATTTGCGCGGCACATTCAGCATTCAAATGCTTAAACGGTTTGCGTGATATTAGGCTTTATTAGTTGAGCGACAACATATGTAATATGCTAGGTTATTGTTAAAAATTGTGTTTTACAGGAGAGACCAAAAGGAACCGGAGACAGAACTCTCATCTGGCTATACCTGTTGAACGGGGCTTACAATAGTTTTTATTTTGATTGTTCAGGTTCATCATCAGCAATAGTTTTGATTTACACAATCAGGGCATATGGTAATTTTTTTGATATACAGGGTGACGAGCAACTACTTTTGCCAGGCGCACAGAATGGCCGAAACGAGAAGACCTCGCCGTAAAAACTTCCAAACGGTCAAAACCATTTGATTTTGAGATGGGGGTGAAATCCAAAATGGTGCTTTATATTCATTGGCTATGTCATTGCTCATTTCTGTAAACGATAAATATTGATCTTATTACTAGCTCAAACACTTAATCTGCAAAAATGACAAGTTAATGTGGGTGATGGTGATTTCAGAACCAACGTGGGGAGACAAAACAGGCTACATTGTCCCCGTTAATCTGATATTGGTAGAGGGGTGGTAGATGCCTAGTCTCCCTTATGACTCAGCTCAGGTACCTACACATACATATTTTACACACACGTCAGCTCAGAGGCCCATGAGCTCTATCAGCAGCAGAATGTGTTTATGCAACAAATGTTAGTGCATCGTATCAAACCGAATCGCATCAATTAGTTTAAACCTAGCTAAAACATATAATTCCTGTATTGTATCGTAGCCCATGTATCTAGATACGTATCGAACCGTCTTGAAAGGGAAAGATGCACATCCCTACACAGAACACTTTTATTAGACCCCTTCCTAGCCTCTAGATCTTTCACATAGCCTCTACCCAGTCTAGCCCAGTGTTTCCCCCAACCTATTCTCCAGTATTTCCAACCATTCCACTTGTTTGATCTATTCCAGCACCAACACACCTGATTCAACTGGTCATCAGCACTCGATTTGTTTAAATCAGGAATTCTAGTACTGGAATATAACAAATAAGTGTAATGGCTGGAGTTACTCAAGGATAGGTTTGAGAAACACTGATCTAGTCTAGTTACAGCCCTGCCTACCGTGTGTGAGTGTGTATCTCACCATTGAAGAAGTCTGAGTGCACTGCTTTCTCATTTGCTGCCAGGTCCATGAGCAGACCGCTGCTGCCCCCTGCCTGAAGAACACACAAGCGCGCACACACACAGATACAGTTTCATAACAATGTTAGCCATTTATCAAAGTACAGAAAACACATGAGCTCAACAAGAAAAGTACAAGAAAACAAAGACAGTTCGTTTAGTCTACAGTCAGACAAACGGTTAACCGTTTAGCTAACTAGGTTAAAAACAACTGTCTGTGCTAACGTTAGAGCTGCACAACTTTCTAGCCTCTGACACAATTCAGGTATAGGCCTAACCTTCTAGACATAGCTAGCTTGCTAACATTAGTAGTAGCAAGTTCCCAACAACTGTGTGTTGAACAAGATGAATGGATAACAGCGGGCGTTTTTTGTATCCGAGTCACTACTGTACTAGTTACTGTAGGTGGCTATGTTACCGTTGCTAACAATGGTAGCTAGCTAGGTCGGGGATTCTTTCGTGTCACTTGATTATTACTAACCTCGTCTAGATCCACATAAGGCCCAGCGCCTTCAGGGAACATCTCGTCCACCGCTGGTTTCATGATAGTTTCTGTCTTTGACGATTTACCGTAATGAATATTAGCTACCTAGCTGTTTTCTGTCAACGTTAACAAAGCAAACTGTACCTCCTTCTTCTTCTATGATATAATATCGGTCCGCAAACAACCTTTAAAGGTGCGTGCCGCCACCTACTGTGCTGGAGTGTGTGGTCAATCACGGTTTACAACATGAGCTCCACATTTCTAAATCCTCCTACCGAAAGCAGTACTTCTGAGAAAATAAAAAAGAGCCCTACTAACTTCTAATAGACCGTCCCCCATCCCCAAAATCCCTTCAAACCCCCCCCAACCTCGTCCAACCACAATGACCCTACACTTCAATCTTTCCCTCTCTTCAACATACTTACAACAATATAACAAATGCTCCACCGTTTAATCGACCATGCACTCCAGACACAAACCATTCACATGCTTGCCAACCAGCTGTAATGACGAGTACAATGTCCTAGGCGCAATCGAGCAAACACCACCTCTTCCTTCCTAATCTGACTTTTTAATCTTGGTCCACCAACCTTTCTTTGGAGGGCATATAAATGCAGGCCCTTGGGCTCAGGGTCCCATCTCTCCTGCCACACATCTATCAAAATGACTCTGATCTTACATTTGGCCTCACCTCTACCCAGTGGAACATTAATATCAATTATATCTTGTTTTAAAGCTTTTTTGGCTATCTGGTCTACAACTTCATTCCCTTCCATACCCAAATGGGCTGGGACCCAGCAGAATCGCACTACTACACCCAGTCTCTCAATTCTCCATAATAACATGAATGCCTCCAATAGTAGGTCACTCCTATTAGATTTGCGAGATGATAAACTATTCAATACAGACATGGGATTTGAGCATACCCACTTCTTCTTCTTCTTCTTTTTCTTTAAGGTTGGTGTATTGCCGCCACCTACTGTACAGGGTAGCAAAACAAAATTAACGTCATACAAAAGTAAACAAAAGTAAACAAAAATAAATAAATAATCCCACTCCTTCAGTCACAATTCAAATCACATCCCTACACAGGCTCAGGGGCCTGTGAGGACGAAGTATTAATCGACAGGATTCCTTGTAATGCCTCAGCCGCACTCACAATGATGCCTATTTTCTCAGATTTTCTCTCTGTTTGCACTGTGCAGTTGAAAACCAATGCAATAAATACTAAAAAGTCCACCTTCTTAACATGCAGCATGTCAGTATCCCCCTGTTGACAAAGAATATCTTCTAGTGTTTCTACACCTACTACCATTATTTCTTCAACTTCACTCCTTTCTTCCACTCTTCTCACCGCCTCCAGATAGGACATGGTGGACAGTCCTTATTCTTGCCACCTCCGTCTCCTTCACCCTAACAGGACACTTCAGAAATTCAGGTGCATGTTCACCACCACAATTGTAGCGTTTAGACTCAGCTGTCATACGATACTCCTCCCGTCTACATACACTTGACACATGCATGGGTTTGGGCACGTAGGCTCTCACAGGGTATCTCATAAAAATCAAATAGATGTGAGAAGGGAGAGACACTTTTTCAAAAAACAATAGAATGGATGGAGTGGGCTTCCCACTCCATCCACCATGCCAGTCAGTCGGTGTGCACCAACCACTTGATCCAATTCTTCACATATATCCTTTGCATTCACTTCTAGTGCCACCTCAGAGAAAACACCCTTGATGGGCGCCCTGCTTCGAAGATCCACACACCACACATTCCAATCCGATATCTTCTTGAGGGGCAGAGCATGTTCCT